TTATAAGTACACATGTTGAGAGTGTGTGTGTGTGTGTGTGTGTGTGTGTGTGTGTGTGTGTGTGTGTGTGTGTGTGTGTGTGTGTGTGTGTGTGTGTGTGTGTGTGTGTGTGTGTGTGTGTGTGAATCTGAGACCTGAATGTTACCATGGTGATGGAGCGGTTGTGAGTGTATATTTGTGTGTTTACAGTCTCAAACAGCCGGTGTTGCAGTGGAAATGAAACACAAACACTGCTGGATTCTCCTAATTTCAAATTATCCAATTGCACATATTTTTCGCTTCTACTTCTCAACAGCCAGAGACATGATCAACAGAGCAGAAACAAAATCAGCGTCGGATTTCCCTCAATGCAGATAGTTATACACAGCCATACACTCACTGTGTACTCTATTGTTTTCCACAATAAGAGGACATTTAGCGTACAATGTTTACCAAATGTCACAACAGTATGCAAGAACCAACACTTTTGAAAAAATCTAAGGGGAAATGGTTTACTAAGTGGTTTTTTATAGTTTTTATGACACAATGCATGACTAGTGGACAGCAGGTTCATTACAAATCAAAATCAGGGAGAAATAACTTATTGTTTAACATGAAATTAGAGAAAGGTACATTGTTGCTTTGTTTTTTTAACTGAACAAAGAGATCAAATGCACTGAATATACTCCTCTCCTCTCCTTTTGACTTTTTCCTTTGATTTATTTACTGGGCTGTGAGTAAAGGAATAACAAGCCAAGTCTTTTATCGCTTCAACAGTTTTAAAAATCATTCTTTTACTGCTTTTGTGTTATGTTTGTAGATACAATGCACCATAAATCAAAGCTTTGCCTGGTTTCTCAGTGTAATAAAACGTTTTTAGAGAGCACCTGTCCATGGACAAGTGAGTTTGGCAATTTACTTGTCCGAATACATTTTTCACTTGTCCAGAAAAATCGATCAGCATCGTATTTTACATTTTCCCACGGTTTTTATGGTAAGATTTTACTGCATCACACATAGGGATGGGTATCGTTTGGATTTGAACGATTCCGGTTACGCTTTTCGATTCCGGTTCTCGATTCTAGTTCGTTGAGAGGGTACAAATAAGTCCCATGACAAACTGGGAGAAAAATATATTTATGAAAACTTTAAAGGTCCCATGTCATATTGACATATTGATTGTCATCATATTGTTGAGGTCTACTAGAATAGATTTATATTGTGCAATTTTCCAAACTCACATTGGTTTCTCATACAGCATCTCTGTAAACTACGTGTATTCACTGAATTTCACTCTCTGCCTTTAACGGCTCGTTGTAGCTCCAGTAGCTCCAGCCCCCACCCTCCCTGTGAGCACAGTGTGCTCTGATTGGTCGGGACATTGTGAATCGCGCTAAGCTCCGTGGAGGTGTTGTTTCCTTGTTTAGCGATACACAGCCAAACTCACCCTGAGCACACACAAAGTCACAGCCGAAGTAAAAACAATAAGTGTGGCTTGATATTGAGTAAGAAAAAGGTTGATAAACGCTGTGAGAATGGGTCTGCAGAGAGAAGATTCGCCGCGTCCAAACTGTCTGTACAGCCTGCAGCCAGGGAGGAGAACATCAGCCAGAGCTGCTGCACTCACCGGCCTGTCTACACTCAGGCATCGAAAAATGCATTTCAACGCTTCGCCATTCACTTGAATGGGATGACGTAGAAGATGGTTTAATCTTCGCGCACCTGCATTGTGGGGGAGCACTGGACATGGCTTTGCAAGCATCACGAGGCATCTATCGGTCAAAGTTGAACAATGTTCAATACTTTGAGCTCGATGCTTGCATCAGCCAATCAAATTCCCCGTTATGCAAATACCGCCGAGTGCAAGGGCCGCAGCCAATCAAACCGCGTGCAGACTGGGAGCAGGCCAGACGCAGTTAATTTCTCATATTCCAAAGAGATATTAAACGTAGCATCAATCGGTTTTTCGGACAAGGATATATTCGGATACCAACGGAGGAACCAGGCGATGAGAGGAGGTGCGAGAGGACATGTGGGTAACTGGTAGTTTTTCGGCCTGTTAGGAGAGTTTTTATCAGTTACGCGCTTTTTCATTGATTGCTTTGTATCTGGCGGGCGGGAGTTCTGGTGTTGTGGTCGGTTGTTCGCAAAAATTGAGCTTAGAGCCCAGCTTCAGGTTTTGGATGCGCTGTAGTTGTGCGGGGTGGTGTGGTGTGTGAGGAAGTCCGTGGATGGTCAAATTGGACCAACGCGGGGGGCTTAATAGTTCGGAGTACGTAGGGCTCCACGGTTGGTCTTTGTCTGGTTCGTGACATTGCGTACCGGAAAGGATTAAATTGGACAATGAGTATCTCCAACGGGGTTTTTGGGGAGGTATTTCGGTGTTTTAAGTTTTACTCGCTACAGGTGTCTTTGAGGGTTGTGACGGAGTTTTACTGCTAACTCAAAACAGAAGGGAGGGTAATACCAGAAAAGCATGGACATGGGCCGTTATTTTCAAATCTGTTTCTTTAAATATCATTTTTTTTTTTTTTCTGTTGATTTGTTCAGGTATTGAATACCAATTAAAAAAAAAATTGTTAGTTAGTCTAGTGGTCGTGGATGTACTTGGCCCAGTTCTTGAAGTAATGATCTGCTTGTGGGACAGGGGTCAACCAAGTCTTTTGTCCGACATGCCGCATAACATGTGCGCTTGCCCACTGTTTGAGTGATATAGTTTTTTTCAATAATGTTTTCTTTACCCTGTTCATAAACTACTGCATCCTTGTCGGTCTGGGGGTCGGGATATGAGACAGCGGAGGCATAGAGAAGGGAGGTGTTATTTAAAGGAAGGCGGTCCAATATGAACATGGTTGCAGCTGCACACTGTTTGTAAGTTTGGGAATAAAGAGTATGTTTCACATTTGGCAATAAGGTACTTTCTTACCCTGCCTCCTGAAACATTTCTAACATACCTGTGCTCCTGCGAGTCTGGGTCGTCCGGGTACTATGAGGACGGCCGAGCGACATAGAGAGGCAGGCTGATTAGTTCATAAGGAAATGGCGGTCAATAAACATATAGAGCTAAAATGTCGTTTAATAGCGTGCACTATGACAATGTGAAAGTTTGATTGTCGGTAGCATGAACCTAAATACCAAACGTTATGAACCATGACAGTGTATCATAGGCGTTTTTTCCTAATTTCTCACGTTCTGTTTCGACAGTGATACAGTAGGAGAACAAAAATTAGTAAAAGCTTAATAATGTACATGGATTTCATTCTGGTAGGCAAAAGTGTTATTATCATATAATACAATATATATATACGGTAATCTGTTTTTCTGCTTTTAATCTGTGCCACGCTTCAAGCAGTTATCTTGTCGTCTACGACACAGAGGCAACCATCACAGGGTCCTCCTCCATGTCCAAAAAAAACAAGCTTATAGCTTGCTCACGTTCAGAGTTCTCTCTTCATCATAGTTGAATCTTCAAACTCTAAATCTATTCTAACTTATATCTAAATTCTCAATGTTTGTCTGGTCACTTTACTTCAATCGCAGTCTCCCGCCGTCTCTCTTTGGTCTCCAGACCGCCTGTCTTCGTATATCTTGTCTCTCCCATTCCCGCCTCCCTCTTCGTCTCTTTTCGTCTTGCTTCGTATCACTCCGTTTATCCTGATTACCTCACCCCTCCCTGTTAAAGATACATCCTGTTGAGCAGAATCTACAGTTTCCAAGTATTTTCCGTTTCGTAAAATGATAAAATACGACGAAGATATTAAAATATGTGCTTCTATTCATTACTTTGAATTATATTTGTTATTAATTATATTAATCGTATCTCCGTGTTTATTGGCGTTCTTTTTGCATGAAACAAAGACTGGCATATGTTTAAGCAAGTACTTTCGTACGGAAATACACATATACTGTACAATCCTGTTGAGCAGGATCTGCAGTTTCCAGTATTTTCCATTTTCGTAAAAATAATCAAATACGTCGAAGATATTCAAATATGCTTCCCATATTTTCATACTTTTGAAATGTATTAACTTTATAGTCATCGATATCTACCAATGTTTACTGGGTCTTTTGCAGAATCAAAAGACTGGGATATAGGTTTCAAGCCAGTACTTTCGACAGAAGCAACGGCAATGTTGTCCGGACTGTTTGGTTTTTATGCGGCAACCGGCTTGAAACAGGTTCATGTGATCTGATCACAATCGTGCGTTTGACGGTCGACTCCAAACGGAAGCGGCGAGATGCACTTTCCTAGGAATCGACAAGCAAAACCACAACAATGGCGGAACTGGACAATTACCAAATTCGTCTGCCTTTTGTAAGCCTGAATTATCAATAATTTGGTACCATTAAATAAGGGCGGAAAAAACGTCACTTGTCGCTCTCGGACAAGTCAATTTAAAGATACTACTTGTCCAATATTGTAAAAACACGTCCCGGACGGTTGGGACGTTGCTTTTTCGCACGCCACTGATTTCTTTTACACATTTTGGGGGACTGTTGCATTCTGAACCCTTCAGATTAACACAACATTAAGTGTGTGGCTCCTCCCTATGAACAAGCAATTAGATAATAGGGTGATGTGTTAAACTTCAAGCATCCATTTTAGTGAAAACATGTCATG